GAGAAAAACTTCACAACTGTAATATTTCTATGTGGTTTTAAAATCAGTATCTTAGGTGTAGGTGAAGTGATGAACCAAGGTGGATTTTAGTGACATTTTTATGTTTCACTACTTTCTGAAGAGAATCTATGTTTTGAGGAAGCGTTTGGGCACAAGCCCATTGTAAGACAGCAGCCCTACTAAAGACAGCTTTACTGAGGGACACCAGTTGTCACTAGTCTTGACTGGGACATTGAGCCCTTGACCACTCCTCTCTGGATGCAGCCAATCCTCACCCACTGAGCAGTGCATCCATCAAATCTATGTCTCTGCAATTTGGAGAGAAGGATGTGGTGGGGGCAGTGTCAAAAGCCTTGCAAGGTCCAGCAGATATTATATGCAGTTCTTCCCTTGCCTTCAGCTCTACTGTTATGGAAAAAAATGGCAGAATAATTCAGGTTGTTTGGATTATGTTGTCCCACAGCCTCTCTGACTTCTTTGTCCCCCCTAGTCCACACAGCATTCAAACCATGACTTTGGCACTTCCTCACACACAGAAATTCTGTGCTATGTCCAGTAATGTAATCACACCCTTAGTGGGACTATAGGAATAGAAAGTAAGAGAATAATGTAAAAGTGTGAGATGAATGTAACTGGAAAATCTCACTGTAGATTTATCCCTGCCTTTGAAAGCCATTTGGGCCTGAAGTATATCTAGTACTCAGAGCTGCAGGAAATTTATCCTGTCCAGATTAATCCCAGAAGTCCTTTACTGCAATAAAATGGTGGTGGAGCTGGTGTTGTGTGAGAACTGGCTGCAGTATGAAATTTTGGAGACCCACAAGTACAGCATAAATACTCAGTCTGTTCACTGAATGACTTGAAGGGATTTGCTGTCTCAGCAGGAATTTCCACCAGATTCTCTGGGGCAATTCAAGATGACCTAAACCCTCTGGCAAAATCTGTCTCCAAACAAGGCCTGGTGTAATTGTCATTGTCATTACCATTAACTTTGGCAGAGAGCTATAAACTGTGTGTATGAATGGAGTGACTGGAATATATTTGTTCCAGAGGTTTCAATGGGCCGATACCAAGCGTGGGTGACTTTGGCAGGTGGCTCATTCCCTGGTCATTTGACTGGGCAGAACTGGTTGAGTCAGGTTGATTAGCTGTCAGGAATGAACTACAACTGGCTAATGTTCTCCCTTTCTCAGCCCTTCATGAAGCAGAGGTAATGCTGATGAGTGGATAGATTGACATTAAAGCTTTGTGCTGATAGCTAGCCAAATTGAGACTAGAGTGAAAAAGAAACCAGCATTCCCAATTTCCATGCATTGCTCAGCCATGCCTGTATTTTTCCAAAGAAATGTACCTTTTTCTATTCCACGGGATAATTGTATTGATATAGACAACTTCTAAGTTGAAAAAGCACTAAGATGACAAAGTATGAAGCCTTTCAAAAAGTCATATGGACTTTTATGTTTGGTGGACAACTGTAAGAACTTCATTTGTGTATTAAGCAAATTTTTGAGGGAGTTTCTCTTGTCTGGAAGAGTACTATGTTCTTAAAACTTTAAAGAAAAAAATGGGCTGTGTATGTTTTAAATACCTGGTGGGTTTTTTAAGGATTACCTTATACTAATTATATCTCTATTATCCTTTCAGTGATGACATTTAAGTATAAACTCACAGCTAGTTTCTTCCAAAAGATCTTCATTTAGACTTCATAATTACTTAACTCAAATGGGTATGAATTGTCCAATTATTTGGACATGTTCATGCATAGCTTGAGATACTGGAAATTTTTTGTTTTCCTACTTGAGAACATGAGTGAGGTACTCAGAAGAGCAGGATGACCTTTGCTAAGGATCTGTCTTCAAACCATGTTGGGTTCATATGCACAGAGCTCTCCAGACTCATCTGGAGCAGCTCCTGTTCTTCAAGAACAGAGAAAGATTACTCACCATACCACATCAGATCTTTAGAATATGTCAGATTTATCTTTGATCTTTGCACCCAGGAGCTTCTGACACCTCACATGGAGATGAAACATCCCTGTGATGCAGCCAGTCAGTTATGAGGAATCTTGTTGGTATTGTCTGGGATGATGTCACTTGGCTGGTCAGCTTGTGCCTTCAGGTGAAAGGTTTTCTTGCATTTTCTTCAACACCCATCAGGGTGCATGTTTATACTGGTCATAAAACTGACTGGTTTCTATTACAACTGCAACACAGTTCCTTGCATCTGAACTTTGAGACAACAAAACTGGACAGCCAAATGCAGGATGTGCGGTGTACCATTTCCTTGTAGTTTTCTGTTCTTTGGCTCTGTGCTTTTGTTTTTATTTTGTTTTTATTATTGTCCCTTTGATTGTCAGTAGCATCTGACGCTATTTTGCTTGTATTTGGCTGAGAATGAGGGTGTAATTTAAATTACAGACTAGCAGATTTCAGCAGAGTCCATGCTTTCAGTGGCCACAGACTGTAGCTATGCTCTAACAGCCCACAAGTTACCTGTTTGAGGCTGAGTCTGATCTTTGTCAAATGCAATTTGATGTTAAGCTTCACCAGAGAAAAAACTTTCAGGAAACAAAAATCAAATGGTTTTTTCTTCAGCCAAAGCTTACTCACTAGGCTTGTCCTTGGATTTATTGGTGTCATCTTCCAAAGTGAAGCCTTGTCTGTATTTACAAAGATTTATAGAGGTGTGTTTGTTTAGTGGTTAGATTTTGCCAGGGACAAAATGCTGATCTGATAGACACCACATCAGGCATCTCAGTATGCAGCAGGTCTTATGTTGTTGAGCTGGGCTTGTTTAGCCTGGAGAAAAAGAGGTTGAGGGGTGACATTGTTCTCTATGTGTACTTGAAAGGAGGTTGTAGCCAGTTGGGTTCTGGTCTCTTCTTCAGTGCCTCCAGGCCCCAGGCCCTGCTGCCCCCTGTTGTGATTCTCTCCTGTAGCACTGCCATTGTGTAGCTCCCTGTGTGCCCTCCTCCCCACAGACATGGTTTTCCCCTTTGAAATCACTGCACTGCTGCTGTTTTGGGGCAGCTGAGAGGCACTGCCTGTGCCCATGTGCTGTGTGCCCTCTTCCCATGGTGCCAACAGCCCGAGGCTGCTGCAGGTGATGGGCTAACAGAGTGCTGCTGGAACCAGCAGTGGTCCAAAGGTGAGATCCTGACTTCAGGCAAAATGCCCATTGACGTCAGCAAAGTCAGCATCTTACTCAAAGCAAGTAGTCCAGAGGCTGAAACTAGGAAGCCCTCTCAATATTTCTCTCAGATTTCCCTTTGCACTGATACATATTTTATTTTTCATTTTATTATCTACAAAGCTCAGTAAGAAGCAGCCTTTTGTCCCATGGAACTTTACAGCATGCACACAGCATTTGAAAGCAGCTGTGAGTAGAATGATGAACTAGAAACAGAAGTAAAATAAATTTTACAAAAAAATCTTAGGGTAAGCCAGGTATGAAGAGAAGTTCAGAAGTTCTGATTTACTGTCCAGAAGATTTGGAACAATTACAGCAGGCAGCAGAACTGAGAAACAAATGGATAATTAAAGTCATTAGGAGGCACCAGCATTATTTCTTCAGAGAAAAAATTGTTATGAAAAAGCCTGTGAGTATGTGCACAGGTACAGTCAGTATAGTGCACTTGAATTTTCAAAATATTTTAATGGGGTTGTCAACAGTTCTAAAGAAGCAAAGATTCTTTAGAAATCTGTATTGTGATCAGAAGGAAAAACTTTTTATGGATTAATAACTGAAAAGCAGTAAAAAGATATGATTGGTTTAGTGGTGGAGAAAGGTTTTCTGAGAAGTACCTTAAGGATCTTTATTGGAATCTTATTTAACTGTTTCCATAATAACCTAGAAAATACTTAATGTACTGCTAATAGAAAAAGTATTCAAGGCAGGAAAAACTAAAAGCTGCAAGGCTACAAGGACTTTCAGAAGGCTTCTGATTTACTCTTTATTGAGTGAAAAACTGATTAGTTGAGTTTCCATCACTATGTGCCAACTATGTCCACAAAACCCCACAGATTATATAAATGTGTATACTGATGAGCTCCAGATTAAGCAATCATGAAAGCAAATTAGGAATTAGATTTTCATGAGAAGCCACCACTAAATCTGCCTTCATATATAATGCCACATGCAGTTCTGACTACATTTTAGAAAGGACTTCATAGTAGGTGAAAAGGTGTAGAGAAAAGCAACAAAAATGATCAAACACATGAGTATGACTTCTATAAAATGAGAGACTAGACAAACTAATATTTTTCTGTCTGATTAGAGACCTCTGTTGGAGTAGTATAAAGTCAGGATTGGTATGGGAAGGTGGTTAAGGAACAGTTACTGGCAAATTCTCATAATTCAAAACCAAGGGAAAGATTATGTCACTGTACCTAAAATAGAAATACTTTTCAATCAATTTTAATCAATGTGTAACAATGTTGCAAAACTCCAGCCGTCGGGTCTTGCAAAGGCTACAACCAGAAGTGAACTCAAGAGCAAACTGAACATAATCACAAAGGTTAGGTTCAATGTTTGCTGTTAAAATGAGGGGCAGACCTCCAAACTTGCTCTTCTCCCCGCAGCATTCTTATAGCATGTGTTGGTATCAATTGTCATTAAAAAGAGTGGGAAGGGAGTTGAGAAGAGCTATAATAATTGTTGTTAGCATTAGTTTCTCTAGTAGTGTCAAGAAGCAAATTCAATGCAAACTTTTTTAGTCTGTCTGCTGTGGTACAGAAAATAAGTATTTATTTTACTTAACTTTCTTTTCTTTTTTTTTCTTGCCACTGCTCTTTCAATAGACACACCTTTATTTTTCTTTAAATAGTCTTTATCAAGCTGAGTGTTTGATTTATATGTATTTTGTAATACTGTTTTTCACCTTGTCACCTTTGCTGTTTGTACACCGGTACAGAATGTCTTTCAGCTACAGATTATGTGAAAGGGCTGTTCTGGCCTTTCTTCTTTTCACATTTCATTTTTCTCTCTCCTTGCTTCTGTAGATAACCAAACCCCCAACGGAGCGATCCAGCCAAATGTGCCTATTGCCACAACCAGGCCAGTCAGAAGGAATGCCTCAAGTCAGCCTCCCATTACCAGACAGTGGTTCATGTGGGAAGGAGATGGATTTAGCAGATGAAACCTCCTTTGTTAACAATGATGTGTTTTTCTTCAGGTTAGTGGGTTTTTTTGTTGTTGCTGTTGTTTTGGTTTTTTGTTTGTCTTTTTTTTTTTTTTTTTGTCTTTGTGTTTTTCTCTTTGCTTGTTTCGTCCCTGCATCTCTGGCTCTGGGTATTTTGAACACTTAAACAGGCTACTGGGGTGTAAGATAAATTAATGTGTCTTTTCTGGTTGAATCTACACACTCCAAAGCCAGTTGTGTGCTTTAGTTTTCCTCTCCAACATAAAATTTCAAGCATATGAAGGTAGCCTGCTTGATGAAGGTAGTGCAAGTGGACAGGTCTGATCTACAGTCAGGCAATAGAAATTACCCCAAGCCCAAGATGAAACCAAAATATGTCTCTTGAATGATCAAGGATATTTGATCTGCCCAGTTTAAGTCTTAACAGATGGCTGACTTTATTCTCACTCTTAAATCCAAAAAAGAAGAGGCTTTTGTAGAGTTTTCTGTTTCTGACAAAAATTGTGCTACTGATAGTACTACTCCATTCAGACAAGAGTAGAAGAGTATGTGTAGAGTATCTATACAAGTATCTTTGTGAATTTATCTATGAGAGTCTATCTAAAGCATCTATAAAAGTATCTATCTAAAAAAGTATTTTGAGTTTTGATTGCTGGCAGATTGTCTGTTAGGTGAACAGATAATGGGCATTTTTCTTTCTTGTTAAGTCCTTTCCTGCATATCAGGCTGAACTGGGATCTTTTCATTATTCTCAGGATATTGAATTGAGTCTGCCATTCTCTCTCCTCTTGTGTCTAGTGCAGCACATGAGGGATTCAGGTGACTGTGGGAAATTGCAGTGTGCTACTGAAATATGGAATTGGCCTGATGTGGGAAATAGTGCTATTCACATGTCATGGAACAGAACACTGCAGTGTCCCAGCACACCGAGCAGGAACACAAAGCAGAGGCAGTGCTGCCAGACACGTAGCTGTGTGACTTCACTGTGTAAGCAGGAGATGTGTGCTATTCTCAGCACCAGAGCAGACAGTTTACGAGACAAGTTAGCACATTATGCACTAGCACTGGATTTTGGTTCATAGTAATGGTGGTAAAGCATAGATGTTGAATTTGGTTTCTAGCCCTTGGCAAGCACACATGCTCTTTAACTGAGTGTTTCACTCTCCTCAAGCTTCCCCAAAAATTCCTGCAGCCAGAACACATCAAGTTTGTTTACATGGCTTCATCAATCCAGCTGCTTTTCACTGAGATGATTTAGAAATCAATGATCAGAGCAGGTTACCTGGCAAACTGGAGAAGGCAATACAGTTGTAGCAGCTATACTGGACCAGGCAGGTGGGGCTGTGGCAGAAGTTCCAGCCTCTGGTGTTGATATGCTGGAGGCTGGCAGGGAGTGTGCCTGTAGTCTGCTGTGCTCCCAGGTGTAAAGGGAAATGAAGTGCACAAGGGTTACAATAAAGAACTGCCAGGTCTCGTGTCTGGGAAGGTGTGTGTGACTGATGTATTTCATGAGGTACCCCAACAAACTGCCTTTCTTTCAGCAGAACAGTTCCCAGGCAATGTAATTATTTGCTGTAGGGAATCCTGCTTTCCTGTCAATGTGCAATTGCTTAGAAGAGTACTGCTGAAGTGTGGGACAGTTGGGCCAGTGCTGGCACAAGAAATTAAGCACCAAATGAAATGTATTTGTAACTAGGCAGAAGGCTGATCTTCATGCTCGGGCCTTGGGTTGAAAGATGTCTGCATCCCTGATTTTATCTGGGAAATTAATTAATTGTAGAAATTAATTCTCTTGTAATCCCATTTTGTTCAAGAATGTCCTAGTTTCCTGTCCTGTCACACTTCTGTACATATTTACCTAATTGCATTGAATATCTGTGCTGCCATGTGCTTCTGGTACCTTTTTGTCCGTGATCTACTGCTGCTGCTGAAGGAGGAGTAGGCAGTGTTTGCTGCTTTCTCTGCAGCTTCAGGCTCGCAGGTTGTTGGGCAGGATGGGATGGAGAGAAGCCTGTGGACCAGGGGAAGAGCAGAGAGAGGTATTCAGCAGACCTGACATGCTTGGGGGACACCTGTCTGTGCAATGGGCACAAACCTTGATTCCCTGGCATCGATGCAGAGCTCTGATGTAGCAGGAGTGGTTTTAAACCTGCTTTTGGCAGCACTGTGCCACTGCCATGTAATTTAAGCCCACAATGAAGTATTACCTGGTGTTACTTCAGTGCAAGGCTATTATTAGGAGTTTTCACCTTTTTCAGCAGGAGGACTCTGGCATCTGACCTAGATTACAAAGTGCTTTGCAAACACAGTGCTATTCTTGTTGGGGGGTTTTGTGTCACAAGGTACCAACAGTTCTAAAACAAATCTTATCATTAATTATGTGTAATTACCAGATAAGTTTTAGTGAAATGACTGTATCTGCTCAACTATGATATGATCTTTGCTAGAAAAGAATAAAGGTTGTTTTTGGCAGTGATAATCATTTGCTGTTTCATGAAAACGCCTGTGGTTTGTTCCCTTTCCATGCTCAGATACCATGATATGGGTGGATTAGAAGAGGATAAAGGGCTACATAGAAGAGTAGATACAGAATTCCACTTTTAGCAGCTTTACAGGTGTAACAGTGAAGAAATAACCACACACACTAAGCCCCTAAGGCTCCCTCCAGCAAGGATTGCAATCTTCAGTAAATTTTCCATCCGTTTCATTTGACACTAGAGCCTTCAGTGAGAAAATAAGAGACTTCTGGTTGATTAGTGATTTTTAATACTATTTAATATGCCTCTTAATATATGTCTTCATACAGTTGTCCTTAAAATGAAGATTCACATATTCAGTAGCAACTACATTTGTGACCATGTCTTCTATAATGACTTACCATTTTTTAAAAATACTGAAAGTCATGTTATGCCTCCTTACAGGTATGATATTCCTCATTGCAGGAATTTTTTGAAGGTGCTGCTGTCATCTGAAATATGCAATACATCAGTTGCAGTCATAACATTACAGAGCATAAAATCTGTATCACCTTCTGTTCACAACAGTTATCTTAAGAAAATGTTATAAGTTATGTTCTCTTTTTTTGAAAAAAAAAATAGCTGGATTACCTCTATATACCTGCAGTCCCCACTAGCACATAATGCATGTGTTGTTCTGAAAATTGCCTCATTATTATAGCTGTATGCCAAGGGCAAACTGCTAATTATGCAGAAACAGAAAAGAACACCCGTATGCAGCTCTTGAGTAAATTCAAAAACAGTGGAGAAAGAGACAACGGAAGGAAATAGAGAAGGGGCAGAAGAGACTCGTCCTCTGAAAAGATGATTAAAGTCTTTAGGCAGTATGCAACCTGTTGCTTACTTCTGTGAGTCTCATCTCATTTTTTTGCAAGAGTTCCTGTGCAGAACTTCAGGGCCAAACCTCTGGAGCCTGGGAACCACACACGTCCTTTGTCTTTACCAGGATGAGAGCCACAAGACACACACTGCAGACTCAGGAGCTGGGGAAGGCAACAACCTTTGGAATGGAGAGTGGGCTGGAGGGAATGGGCCCCCCTGGGGCCTTACCCCAGACCTTCAGTGAGAGGGGTCTGGAGTGGTCCTGCAGCTCTGTGAAGCTGAGTCCCTGTTTGGTCCCTCTTTCTTTCTCTGTCTAGAAGGAAGAAGTCAAAGCTCTGGTTCATAGATAACTGCAGTAGGAATTGGCATGATTTTGAATATGTTTAAAGGTACTACAACTTCAAAGAACTGCTTCAAATAATAGACTCAAATGGCTTTTACTTGAGGGTTAGATATATTAAGACTTACATGGATACAAGGTAGGAGTGCCTCTTGCAAGCAATTTTCTCCCCTTTTGGGCTAAACTTTGTATGTAAGCAAAGAGGAGAGAGAGCCTTCAGGAAGGAGGGAAAATGCTTCCTGCAGTCAAAATGTGAAGCAGGGGATTGAGGATGGTGAGCATAAATGTCTTTCCTGATACTGGCTGAGAAGTGCAAGCTGTCTGCAGACTTTGGTTGACACTATGCTGGATCTTTTGTCCAGGAAAGGGCACTGAAATATGCTTTGCTGTTGTACATGTCTATCCTAGCACTTGCTGGAGCTGCATCTTTTTGCACTCCTGGGACTATTTTGAAGAGGGATCCCTCAGTAGGAGAGCATCCTACTGTTTGTGTTGCTGTTAGGCTCTGTGCATGGAAAGAGTGCAGCTGAGTTCCCATCCTTGCCTAGTAAATGGTTGGGTGCTGGGGAATGGGTGCCATGTATGGCAGACACACTTTATGAAAAACACTGTGCAGCTCCTCAGAGCCACAGCTTAGAGCAGCTACAGCAGTTGTTCAGCGAGCCAGCCTTCTGTATTTTGTAGCCAGGTCTTTGTGTGCCAGAGATCACAGATTCCTGTTTGTGACTGCCATCACAGCTGCACTGAGATTTGCCAGCACAGATAATGCTGTGCTGGCTTTCTAACACGTGCATGTTCTCAAAGAGAAGGTTTGTTTACACATCAACCTTTTGTTCACAAAAATCCTTATATCTGGCCTGTGTCCTGAAAATAAAGGAACCACATGCCTAGTAGCGTGGTAGCATCCCTAAAATAAAGGGTTGGTTAATGTACCCTGCTGTGCCTCCTTCTTAATGACACTGTATATTTTCACTGCTAGTTATTGAGGTATGAAAACATACATCTATTTGTACACTGAGAAGTTTGTGCTTACTGTAAACACTTTCCCTATTTATTGGCTTTCCTCTTAGCAGCTGAGGTTTAAAGCCAAGGCAGGCCAAAACTTATCATTATTCTCTGGCATGTGATAAGAATTGGTCTGTTCTTGCCAGAACAAATCAAACAGGGGGGCTAGTGTTGTTTGCTTAGCTGACTGTTTTTGTTTAGGTTTGGGGTTTTTTGTTTTTGAAGTCTGTCATGCCAGTACATTCAGTCCCCATCAAAAGTAATAATTTGCCTTACCACTGAGGAGCCGTGCTGCCTGGTTTACATAAGGGATTGCAGCCAGGCAGCAGGCAGGGCTGCCCCGATTCTTC